AGTCTACAGTTTGGACTCTCCAGGAAACCACAGAGCTCCTTCACACCATCATCAGACAGGTCTGAGTTCCCACTCAGATCCAGTTCTATCAGATGGGAAGGGTTGGACTTCAGAGCTGAGACCAGAGAAGAACAGCTGATCTCTGACAAAAAGCAGTCCTCCAATCTGAATAGAGAATAAAAGATGTGAGCTGAAGCCAACAGGATGCAGGTTCAAACTGAAATATGAACTAAATGATTGAAGTGGATAGAATTAGTTTTACTGGATGCCAGAGACACAAAAACTGGATCAATTCAAGGCCTAGCATTCCTTAAAATATTTTCTGAGCAGAGTTTAGAGTCTGGGTTGTGGATGACTCCTAGATACTATCACACCACATTTTGGCTTAATAGCTGTAAAATTCACAGAGTTACAGATTTCTTTTGCAGACTCAGGTTGATTAGCTATGGGTTGACATGAAAACTTAATCAGTTATAGATGTTCTTCCAATGATTACTTTTTAATAAGATCATTCAGTAGCTCAGGATGAGATATTTTGTTAACAACAAAACACCCACAGCAGCAGGAGATAAATTATGTTTAAAATGTAAAGGTTAAAACAAGCAGGAAACATGTTTTTGTTCTAAAAAGGCTTTTAGACGTTTGGAAAGAAGAAATTTCAAAACAGACGTGTTCAAGTTGAACTTTAGAAATGAATGAAACATTTATAAATGAATAATTTGTGAAGTATCAGGGAATGATTTTAGTTGGACAAACATCAAAACCTCCAACAGCTGCAGTGAACTGACCTCAGAACCTCCAGTCTACAGTTTGGACTCTGCAGGAAATCACAGAGCTCATCCACTTCAGAATCAGACAGGTCTTCGTTATGGCTCAGGTCCAGTTGTGTCAGGGAGGGGTTTGACTTCAAAGATGAGATGAGAGAAGAACAGCTGATCTCTCCATCTCTGCTGTCCTCCAATCTGCATGAATAATAAAACATGAACTGAAGCCAACAGGACACAGGTTCAAACTGAAATCTTCTTTTCTTTTGGCTGTTCCCTCTTTGTGGCTCACCACAACACTTCTGATTACAGGACAAAATAAAATATTCACACTTCTGAGTGACACCACTACATTTAAGTCCTTGAAGAAGGACCCAACCAGCACATACAAAAAGATTATAGTACCTCCAACAACTTGAAAAGGAAAAGGTAATCAATTGTTAATTTTACCAGACTCTATCTAGGGGAAGCCCTTCCATGGTTACATGGACTTCCTAAAATCCACAAAATAGTTACACCACTCAGACCCATCATCAGCAGAATAACTTTGGTGACATATAATACTGTAAAACAGTTTGCTGGTACTTTAGCTCCTCTTGTGGGAAACACACCACATTACATAGAGAACTCCATGGACTTTGAAAGCAAGTTACTGGTAAACATTTGAAGATAGTGTCAGGAGAAACTCTTGGATCTTATGACGTCACTCCACTTTTCACTTGTATATCCACATAAGAGGCAGTAGAAACCGTCAGGATATATCTTCAACAAGATATGACCTTAGCAACACCAATTTCACCCCAGCCCAGATCTCTACCCTGCTGGAACTTTGTCTTTCCACAACATATTTCATGGTCAATGATGGTTTCTGTTAGGAAAATATTCTCATTTATTAATGTTGTTTACTCAAAGGAACCATAAACTCACGACAGGTGAAGATTTTTCACCAGATTTAGCTGCAATGGCAAAGACAGGATTCAGGACAGGTTCCATACATAAATACATACGCATGAAGACAATGCCACAGAATAAGAACCTTAACATATACGTATAACATTAACAGTTCAGCGGAGTTCAGTGGGTGTTCCTTCATCCTGCAGCAAGCTGCAGTCCCAACTCACAAAAGCACACAGGTATGGTTTGTGGCAGGGCTTAATTTGAGCCGAATCCTGCCTGAACAGGATCCAGGAATGCTCTTATTTTAACAGGGTGCGTTCCAGCAACTGTTTTCTTGGATCCGGTCACTGTCAGGCCTGCTAATAATACAGTTGTGAACAAATTTGACTGCTTGAAAAAGAATAAAACTTATACTGTTTATGTAAACTGAAAATAATTACATAAACACTCATTTTAAACACAACAGCCACTTACAAGCTGCTTCTAAATATCACATACAATCATCTGACCCTTCAAATGAAGCATTTCCACTGCATATACCCTTAAAAAATCTCTGCCTCTTAAAGTCCAGTCACCGCTCATTTTTATTTAAAAAACTCAAAAATATAATTAAACAGCACAACTACATTGCAAAACAGTTTTACAGTTTAAGTGGGTTTATTAATAAAATTGTGATTATTTATTAAAAATACAAGAGAAATGTTTGATGTGTATTATTCACGTCACGTATCAAAACAACGCCGCTAATTTGTCAAAATAACAGCAATCAAAATGTCAAAAAGACAGTCCAATTTACTTTCATTAAAAAAGGCTTCTGATTGTCCTTAGTTGGACAATTGAGAATTGAAGCACCTGAAGGCAGTGGCAATGAAGATTGGACCAGAAGTGAGTGAGTGATGTGGGGGCGAGGGCCGAGCTAACCAGGCAGTCGTATGCAGGCTGGAGCCCACAGGCAGCCGTCATGAACAGACAGAGGAGTCGCCTGGAAGTTTCACATGTGGAGTCAGACAACAATGCACAGGACTGAATTCAGCAGAGAAGAGTCGGGTTCAGAACCATGAAGAGGGGGGTAGGATGCTTGACAGAAGCAGAGCCGCTCTGTTCACGCACAAGGACAGAGTTGTTGTTGTTGATCTCTAAAATAGGTATAGAATCAAGTGTTTACTTCTGTAGGTAAACATAGATGTTTAGCAATCTGTTAAAATACATCAGAATGCAGGAAATGGCATCTACTTTATTCACAATTTTCTGGGGGAGGACTCCCAGATCCCCCCCCCCCCCCC